TTGTCTAATCCGCCGTTCCGGTGTTACTTTTCTTGACGACCTCTCCTCAAATATCCCGGAGTGGAAGTCGAAATTAATTTTTATCCGCCCTCCCGTCGGTGCTTATCCTTATGCAAATAATTGGATAAGCACGAAGGTTAAACAAAATAAAAGGTCTCGATCCGAGAACTTTGAAAAACTTGTAGAGGAATTGAATAAGTGTACTTATAGTGCTCGACGCATAATAAAAGACTGTGAGTTGGTCAATAACGCCCGAATCGTTTTGTATGACGATATCTCTCGGCTCGATGATCCCCGTAAGCTGTCTGCTATTTTTTATAATGTTGAGTTTGATTTCTATTTCAGCCTTGTTTGATTGTTTCATTTCCATTTCAGTCAAAGCACTCAAATGTTTTGAGGTAAAAAAGGAACCATCGACTGGTCAGTTGGCCGGCGGGTCTGCTCCTCCTCCACCGGGCAGCTCTGGATCGAAGTCGATTTCTGCGACAAAGCGACCTAAAACTTCGGGACCCAGTAATCGTAAGAGACCTCAAGATGAAAGGACCCCTTCTCTCCTTCCGGATGACCTTAAGCGCCGCAAGGTCGACAAGGGCAACGAAAAAGTTGTCGAAAGGAGCGCTGCCTCTGTCGTCACTTATAAGGACGTGCTGGTCAAGATGCCATCTCGGCTCTGGAATCATCCAGAGCCGCATAAGGTGGCCCGATACCTACATTCTTTGCTCCCCGAGGCTGATAAGGACCGCGTCGAGGGGAATAACTACGAGCGTTCCTGCTACGCTACCCAGTGCCTTACTCGGGTATGTGTTTTTTTCTCGAGTTCAACGTTTATGCTCACATTTGTTTGCATCATTTTCTTATTCTCCTCCCCTCTTTTTTTGTAGTTCTTAGCAGCTGTTCTTCCTGGTCTCGAGACGGGTACCAAGGCCCCTACCTCTTCTACTAAGGCCCTCGAGGACAGATGCGAGGCGCAGCTTAGAGAAATTGCCAAGCTGAAGGCGGACTTGGAGGGGTCTAAAGCTTTAGTCGACAAGCTGAAGGCCGAAAAGGCCGTGGCCCAATATGACAACGAGAAGATCCAGGCCGATCTCGAAAAAGCCCAGGAGGAGATCGTGCATGAGAGGGACATCGGCACTATACAGGGCCGCAAGTCATTTCTCACGACACCGATGGGCGCTCTCTTCCTCAGGACTTATCGCGAGGAAGTTGTCAAGGCCTTCTGTAATTCGCCCGAGTTCCTCGACAGACTCTGTCCCGCCGCCATTCAATATTTTGATCATACTTTTGATGCCTGGGAGGCGGTGGTTGCAGGGTCTGAGTTTGCGGGAAGGCTCGATCGTGAAGCGATACGGCTAGCACTTCCCGACCCTGAAGGTTATGAGGTGATCCCTCCCTCCCGGGCGATTACCAGTGGTGGATTAGCCTGGAAGCTAAAGCCATCCAAGCTGCCAAGCTTTCTTCCCGGCTCGAGGCTCCCTTCACTTCTCCGATTCAGCCGAGCCGGTCGAATTTTGAGGGTCGAATAATGAACACTATTGATAAGAGCGACGGAGAAGTTGACTCTTAGAATCGTGTCCCCAGGCCTGTCGCCTTTTGTTTCCTGTAATTTTCCTTCTGTCGTTTGTTTTTACTATTTGTTTTTGTCACGACCTAATTCTTAGATTGTAAAGGTCGAGATGATTTTTGTAATGAACCTATCTTGAATATTATATTTCGTCTTCTTTTGCTTGAGTTGTCCTATACTCGTGACTTTATAATTTAAATTGGTTTTAATCATGAATTCATCGAGGCTTCACTCATAACTCCGCAGTCGTAAGTTTATCGACATCTTATGCGTTGACACTTTTTCAGTTAAAATGACAGTTTGCAATTATTTGAGTCGACCTTGTAGTCGTAGGCTTCGTAGTTCTGCCGAGATTTCGCTTGAGGCATACAACTTTGAAGTTGTTTTAAATCGACTTTGTAGTCGTAGGCTTTGTAGCCTTGCCGAGATTTCGCTCGAGGCATACAACTTTGAAGTTGTTTTAAATCGACTTTGTAGTCGTCTTCCCAACCTGTTGTATTTCTTTAAGAAAGTTTAAGTATGCGGATAATCATGGTAAAATTTAAAAAGGCAATCCAATCATCAAACATAACATTCATTTCATTACTGAATTTAATTCGAACGTTTTTCAGTACAAAAAGAGGCTTGAGACTCAGCCTTTAAGCGTAAAAGCGTTTAAAATGGGTCACATGCAAAGATCGAGGCAATTGGCGACCTTCCCCGTCCTCTAGCTCGTATGCTCCTCTCTCGAGAACTTTTGTGACTGTGTAAGGCCCTTCCCAGTTGGCCTCTAACTTCCCGACATGTTTGAGGGCGTCTGCACGCTTGAGGACGAGATCCCCTACTTGGAATCGTCTGGCTCAGACTTTTTTGTCGAATGTTGCGCGTATCTTTTGCTTGTATTCAACTGTTCGCAGCCATGACTCTTCTCGTCCTTCTTCAATCAAATCGAGGGCTTTTTTGGCCAGTTCCTCGTTCTTTTCCTGTTCAAAAAATGTCGACCTGTGCAAACTTAGTGAGATTTCTACTGGCAAGAGGGCATCCATTCCATACACCATACTGAATGGTGATTGGCCTGTCGAGCTTCTTGGCGTAGTCCGGTATGACCAAAAAACGGTGGTTAGCTCATCGATCCAGGCTCCCGATGCCTTCTCTAATCGCTTCTTTAGCCCCTGCAGGATGGTTCTATTTGTAACCTCGACTTGCCCGTTGGCTCGGGGGTGAGTGACTGAAGCAAACCTCTGCTTAATTCCCATTTCAAGGCACCATGCTTGGATTCGCTTGCCCTGAAACTGAGTTCCATTATCTGAAATTAATATCTTCGGGATCCCGAATCGACAACAGATGTTGTTAAATAGGAACTGGATCATTCTCTCCTCAGTAATTTTTGCCAGCGGTTCTGCTTCGACCCATTTGCTGAAGTAGTCGACTGCGACCACCAGGAATTTTCTTTGCCCGGTCCCCATTGGCAAAGGTCCCACCAAGTCGATTCTCCATTGAGAAAAGGGGATCGGGCAGCTGACTGTCGTCATAGTTTCAGCAGGGATATGAGGGATCGGGCCGTGACGCTGGCATCTTTCGCCCTCTTGTACTAACTGTTCGGCCATTCTCCTGATTTTTGGCCAATAATAGCCGGCGCGCAGCACCTTTCCAGCTAAAGCCCGAGATCCGATGTGAGCCCCGCAGCATCCTTCATGAATTTCCCGCAAGACATAATTTCCCTCGTCTTCAGAAATGCATCTTAAATGGGGTCCGATATATGACCTCTTTTATAACACTCCCTCAATTTCGAAATACTTAGTTAGGTATCTAGCGGCCCTTTCGGCTTCCTGCTTATCCCCGGTAGGTATTTTTCTTTGCAAAAGTTCTCGAATCGACATCCTCCAATCCTCTTTCTCTTCGCCTTCCATAGCTTCGCCCAACACGCTTCCCTCTAGATGCATGGTGGTGATAGAGTTTCCCATCTTCCCATCATTCGAGCTCGCGATTCTCGCGAGCCAATCTGCGCGTTTATTTTTCTCTCGAGGGATTTGTGTTAGTTCAAATTTCTCCAGGCCCTGCACAAGACTTTGGATTTCTTCGACATATTTCATCATTAGTTCTTCTTTGATCTCGCAACTTCCCAACACTTGTCCAACAACTAGTTGTGAGTCGGAATGTGCCACAATTTCTGACGCTCCTCTACCAATTGCGAGTTGAATTCCTTTGATTAACGCCTCGTATTCTGCTTCGTTATTTGAGGCCTTGAATCCCATTCTAATAGCAAAGTCCAGTTGCTCGCCTTCGGGTGATACGAGGACGATTCCCAGTCTGGACCCTTTGGCCGCTGAGGACCCATCGACGTGCATGATCCATTTCTTTTCTTCCCCTTTGGTACCTTCTTGGATGAAATCTGCCAGGGCTTGAGCTTTTATGGCTCGCCTCGG